TTAGTCCATTTGCCTTTGAGCTCCTGGCAATGCGGGGCCCATCCCTCCCTTGGTCAGATTTGATCATTATCCCTGTGTGTAGCAATCCCTGTAAGGAGGGAGGAGGAGTCTTGATGATCTGGCAGCGGAGGTTTGGCCACCCTTTGTCTACAGAATTTCATCTTCTTGCAAAAAAATTCATTTTTTAATTCCTCTCAGGGGAGCTCTTGGATACAATATACTTCTTTCACTGGTTTGCAAACTGATTCTCTTTTTCCCTTGTGTTTTGTGAGTAAAGGGAAATGGATTAACATAGCGATGTGGCCCCTAGCCAGCTACACCTCCCTGGGCCCTGCTGAGGGAGAAGGGTGTTTTTTTCCTTTGTGCCAGACAAACACTGTGCAAAGCCATGAGCCAGGCTTTGATGTTTCTCCTGTAGGGAGTAGTGTGGATTAGCAAGTACAGACCTAACCTGGGAGTTGGGGCAGTGAATTTTCAGCCTGTCTCAGTCTTACCTGTCCCATTCTACGTGACGTGGGTTGGAGCATAACTCTGTTTACTGGATGTTAAGCACTAATACTTGCCTTCTGCTCCCCAGCTGGAGGCTAGCAATTTAATGTACCTTAATGTAATGTGACTGAAGCCATAGAGTCACGATCAAACAGCAAAAATCCTTTCAGTGCCTTTTTTTGTATCTAACACAGCAGTTGGGATAAGGACAGCTGTTTGAACACAAACAATAAACTGAGTGTGACACTGTGTCTGTGTTTAACTTAGAGGGTGGGGAAAAGAGATGCTGAAGGAGGAATCCTCCCTCCCATCTCTGAATTTTATGAAGGATGATACTGTTAAAGAGACATTGCCTATATTTGCTCTTGGGTTACAGAGCTGTCCTTTTGCAGTAGCAAGGTGGCAGCCAGATTCATCAGACTCATTGACAATCCCCATTTCAATTGCAAAAACATGAAGAAATGAATATGTGAGTACCTGGTAAAACTGCATATGACATGCCCTGAAGCAAAATGGCATTTTGAGAGCTGCCATCAGTTGGCCTTGAGTATCAGCAGAGAGACCTGGAGCCTTCTGCCTAGCATAGGCACAGCTATGGTGAAAGGAATGGGTGCACCTGCATTTTAGTATGTTATAAACTACCTTTCATTTGGGTGGGTCTTAGTGTCGTAGGGCAAATCGCTGCAGCGTTTAACAACAAATGCCTGTTCAGGGCAGGGAGTGAATAGTAACATCTCCAGCTGAGATGGGGAGGGACGGAGCTGGGATACTATTAAAACTGAGCTTACTGTTAGCTCCTATCCGCTGCAGGAAGAGCTTTGCAAACTTGGAAGCTCCTAAATGTCACTTACTGAACAATGTATAAAGCATCGCATTCAATGTTTTAGGAAGAGTTTCCTTCTGAATTACTGGTCTCGTACACATTTCATAATGGAAACAGTTAACAGGAGAGTGGTCTGTGTGAGATGTGGAAAGCAATCTTCTACTTTGCATACAGACAAGGCCTTCATAATGTTAATACCGTGCTTGGCATGACATTTCAAGAAGTGCATGAGCCATTTGGGATTCCTAGGTGAGTGGCAAGAACGATCAAAGGTCTGAAAACCAACATCTGCAGGGAGGGATCAAATGAACCAGTGCTGTAGAGGAAAGGTGACTGGGGGAGGGTGTGAGAAGTCTTCAAGTGTCTAAAAGGTTGACTGCCAAGAGGAAAGCAATAAATTGGTCTCTAAATCCATCCAGGAGGCAATACCTTTATATTGCAGCAAAGGAGAATTAAGTCACACGGGTGACTTTTTTTGAACTGTAAGTAAAATAAAAGACTAAATGGGTTGCCCAGGAAGGCAGTCCTTAAAAAGAAACCAGACAGACATCTGCCAGCAGTGGTTATGGGGGTGCTAATGCTGCCACAGGGCATGGAAATAAATTAGTTACCTCTCCAGCCCCCTCCCAAACGTAAAGATGCCTTGCAGGTCTTTGGGGATCTGGCTCACCCTCTCACCGTGGTGTATTAATGGCTCTGAAGCAGACTGCAGAGACAAGGGTGTAAAACTCTGCTTGCCTGCACCCAGCTCATCCAGTGAGCTCTAAAATGTTGCCTGCAGAAACACAGAAAGTATTTCTGGAGTGGGGTGGAGCAGCAGGGGGGTGGAGGCAGTGGTACCTTTGCACTGCAGAGCCCGGGGCTGGCCCAGGCTTTGCCCCAG